AAAGACGTCCCTGAGCTCCTTCCCGGCCAATCTCTTCCCATCCCTGACTCATGACAACCACTGGTTGGATTTTCACCCTGTAGTTCTGCCTGTTCTGGGTTTGCATCTAAATGCAGTAATGCAGCAGCTGGTCTTACAAGTCTGGACTCTTCCCCAGCAGGTGCGTTCGCGAGTCACAGGTGGGAGCCCGCACGTAGTGTGCGCATCTCGCCGTGAGCGGAGCCCTACTGTGTGGAGATGGTACCATGTACTCACCTGCTCGCTCGCTGATGGGCATTTGGGTTCTTCCAGTTTGGGGCTATTAAGAGCAAACCTGCTGTGGACATTCGAGTCTTTCATTTTCACTCATCTTGGGGGGACACGTAGGAGTCAGCTGCTGGTTCATGTAGCAAGTGCATATTTAACACATAAGAAACTGCCACGTTGCTTTCCGTGGATGGATAGCTTGGGTTTTCCACCACGGGTGTGTGAGCTTCCTTACCTCCATCCACTCCTCTTGTCCTGTCTGCTCTATGGTAGCCGTTCCTGAGGGCACGATGGCGCCCTCTGCCATCCCCTGTGTGTTTTTCTGACGGCGGACGGTGTTGCACGTCTCTCGGGCTTACTGGCTGTCCGTGGACTTGCTTTGGTGAATCGACTTCAGATGTTTTGCGTCTCTAACTGAGCTGTGTTTCTTCTTGACGTTGAGTTGTAAGGGGTTTTTCTATAGTCTGGATCCCATCCAGGATCAGACATATGTTTGCAAAAAACTTTGCTCTTTCAGTGGTTTGATTTTTCACTTTTAAGTGTCTTTCAAAGAGCAGAAGCTTTAAATTCTGGTCAAGCACACTTCATCAAAGTTTATGTTTTTTTACAATTGATATAAAAAATCTCTTCTATTCCCAAGGCTACAAAGATCTCTATTCCCAGCCCTGGCTGGTTTGGCTCAGTGGTTGGAGCTTCTCTGTGGACCAGAGAGTCCCGGGTTCAGTTCCAGCTAAGGGTGCGTACCAAAAAAAAAAAAAAAGATCTTTGTTCCTTCTAGATGTTCTATGGTTTTAGCTCTTACATTTAGAGCTAGAACTCATTTGGAGGGCTTTTGTTTTTCTTTTTGCCTATGGTATGCGGTAAGGATCTATTTTTTTTTTTTAATACATGACTAGCCAGTACAGTTTACTAAAAAGACTGTTTTATTCCCATTGAATTACCTCGGCACCTTAGTTAATAACCAGTGAACTGTTTACGTGTGGGTCTATTTCTGGACTCACTCTGCTCTGTTGATTGTAGTATCTCTCTTCCAACACCACACTGTTCTAAGTACTGTAGCTTTTTAGTAACTCATGAAATCAGGCCGTGTGAGTCCTAAGTTTCATTCTTTTTTCAAAATTGTGTAGGTATTCAAAGTCCCTTGGATTTGTGTATAAATTTTAGAACAGCTTATCAATTCCTAAAAAACCCTTTTTATTTATGTTATGTTGCGTCTGTAGATCAGTTTGTAGAGAACTGACATGTGAATAACACTGACTCGCAGAATCCTGAACATGGTATAGCTCCCCATTACCTCGGATCTGACTGAGTCCTTCTCAGCAATGTTTGTAGTTTTCAGCACATGTATCTCATATAAATTTTACTAGATGTATTCATAGGTACACCATTTCATATTTTTGATGTATTTATAATTTTTTTTTTCATTTTCAATTTTCAAGTGCTTGTTGCTAGGATATAGAATTTCATTTGATTTGTGTATGTAGACAGTGTCCAATCTGATGTTAATTCCAATCAATATACTTTTTAATTTTACATGTTATATATTTCATGTACAGAATCTTTATTTATTTATTTATTTTAGATATTTTTATTGGTATTTTAGAGAGAGGGGGAAGGAGAGAGAGAGAGAGAAACATGGATGTGAGAAACATGGATCGGCTGCCTCCTGCACGCCCCCTACTGGAGATCGAGCCCACAACCCGGGCATGTGCCCTGACCGGGACTCAAACTGGGACCTCTCGGTCCCTGGGACAATGCTCAACCCTCTGAGCCACACCGGCCAGGCTGTATGGGTCTTTTAGATCATCACCTTCCACATGTTTTCGCTTTCCCCTACCTTCTTGAACACCTGGGTATATTCATAACATGGTTACAGTAGCTATCCAAGCCTGTTTCTGCTAATTTTATCACTGCTGTCACTCTTCTGTTTCTTCGTATATACCATGGGTCATCTTCCTGTTTCTTTACACGTCTGTCTCAGTGGCTGAGCTGCTATAACAACACACCACAGCTGGGAGGTCGACACACAGACATGTTTTCCTGGCAGTCCTCGGGGTTGGAAGCCCAAGACCCAGGGCCGGCAGATCTTCTGTCTGGTTGGGGCACTTCCGCTGTGCAGTGTGTTCGCTGTGTTGGCACCGGGTGGGGAGCGTGGGCTCTCGGGTCCCTTCTCAGGAGGGCCCGAATCCCATCCTCGAGGGGAGGCCACCCCCTAGTGCCATCACCCTGGGGATCGGGCTTCAGCTCATACAGTTGGAGAGAAATCCACACTGAGGTTACTGCCATCTAGAGGTTTTTGTTTGTATGCCTGACATGGACGTTACCTTGTGGATTTTGTTGTATTTCTTCAAAGAGCCTGGGCTTTGCCCTGAAATGTAGCCGTGTTGTTGGGCGCGAACGGCTCATTTGAGCCGCGGCCTCCAGCTCTGCAGGGCAGTTCGTGCCCCGTTGCTTCCGAGGGGTACCCTTCTGAGGAGGCGCCCCGATCCCGTGGCCTGGAAGGAGTGACCCTCAGCCTGTGGGACTCTGAGGACTTCCTGCCACCCTTTCTGGGGGCTCTTTGTCCAGTCTTGTGTTGCTTCCTCTCCAGGACGCCTCTCTACCGCTCTCCTAATTCTTCCGAGTAGCTCCCTCCTCCCTCATGTCTTGCTCTGCAAAGTGCAGATGCCCTGGCCTCCTGGGATCTGACCCTTGTCTCCAACTCAGCGAGGTTGCCTCTCTGTTTAGTAGTCTCCCCTCCCCCCCTCAGCTGGAGGCTGCTTCCAGCCAAGCTGGGCTTCTCTGAGCCCCTGGGCGCTCAGCTCCCTTTCCTCCTGCTGCCAGGGACTGTGGCTCTGTGCCCACCTCCCTAGCCTGCGCCGGCATCCACTGTGTTCCACCAGGTCCCAGCTGTTGGCTGCTGCAGTGAACGGTCACAGTGGCCTGTCAGGCGGGGAGTGCAAGTCCCGCCATCACCTTCTGATGACGTGTCCAAGCGGACAGTGACGTGAGTCCCCCCCCTCTGCTTCTGCAAGGCGGTGGCTCTCTGCCAGGCACGCAGGCAGAAGCGTCCCCTGTGGGCCCAGTGCAGGGAGGTCCCAGCCTCCTGCAGTCCCCTGTTCTGAGCAGAGCCGGCGGGGGGGGGGGGGGGCAGCCACGGCTCAGGCTCCAGGAAGGAGGGGTGAGGCCACCGATCTGACTGAGCCGCAGAGGGAGGTGCGATCACACAGACTGTGCAGAAACCCTTCAGGGTGAGCTTCGTGTCACACCGACTTCCTCCTCCCATGCTGGGGACCAGCACCGGTCCTGCAGGTGGGGACGGGCCGGACACGTGTTCGCGGGCGGTGGGGGAAGTTTCTCCGCCAGTGCACCTGACACCTGCGTCTCTGCTGCCTCGCCCTCCTCTTGACCTTCCAGGACGCGGGCGGGGCAGCTGGGGGGAGAGAAGTGGTGGCGAGCGGGCAGAAAGTGCCTGAGCGTGAGCTGTGGGGCAGGGCCGGTGGGGTGGGCGTGTGCCCGGTGACCAAGCAGGGGGACAGCCCAGACAACGAGGGTGAGCGGGCGTGAGAGGAGCAGACGTCTCCTCCTGGCTGAGCCTGTTTCTTGTGATGGGTCCCCTTACCCTTCACACGGAGACCCCAGCTCTGCCCTCGCACACCTCCTGGCGAACTTCTGGGGGCCTGGCCGGATGCGGCGCCCCCTCCTGGCATTCCCAGCACGTGGCGTGCTCGGGGGAACTGACCTGTGGACTGGCGCGGCCAGTGGGTGCACCGGTGCTCAGGCTCCTTCTCAGTTCAAGCTGCTCGGGTCACCTGCACGAGGTCCCTTCCTGCCCACCCTGGCTGCCCTCCTGTGCACAGAGTCTACGAGTCTGTCCCGGAGCCTTTCCTAACTGTGCCGGCCTAACTGCTCCTCCCTCCCCCTGCAACTCTGGTTTCTGAGGAGGATGCTGCGCCCGCCCGGCAGATCCGTGGTTGTTACTAGCGTGTGCATTGGGTACACGTGCAGCTCACATCTAGGTAAATATTTAGACTGCCCGTCCTGGCCAGATGGTCTTATTTAGCAAATCCTGAGCATGACCCTCACGTTGAAACTTGAAAAAACCCAACAAAGATTCTCACATGTCCACGGGTGAGAACCCCTGAGCCGCACTTGCAGGCCAGGACGCCACGCCGCGGGCCTACCTTCCCTGCCACAGATTCCGTGCAGGGGGACCTTGTGGAACGTGCTGACGTTGAATTTCACAGGAAGACCCGAGTCTGGCTTTGCTAGCCTCCCCCTTGCTACACTGTGGCAGAGGGGTTGGCGCCTTGCAGCCCTCCCACCACACCTGGGCCTCCATTCGGGTAACTGCCAGGATGTCCCCGTGGTTGTGACAAGGCCAAGTGACCTGCAGAGCCTCGTGGACAGAGAGGGGGCTCCTCGCGCCGTGGATGGGCGTGCTCACGTCCAGCAGGGCCTGCGCCCTGCTCTGTGGGTGGGCGGCGGTCCTGACTCCCCGGCCCTCCCGGAACTCTCACCCTGACACTCCGTCTCTTCCACTCAGGTTCGCGTCTGCCCTGTCATTGCCGCTGGCGCCGAGGCCTGACGTCCACTCCTTTCCACCGGGCCGCACCCCTGCCGGGAGCCAGCAGCACAATGAGCGCGGTGAGTGCCCACGTGGCGTGGGAGTGCCCGTTCAGTTACTGTGTCCCCTCGGAAACGGCACGCCTGCTCACTCTCCCTTCGCCTCTTTCCAGGAGCCGGAGACTTACAGCGACTACCCTCTTGGTGACGGCGACTACAACGCCTCCCTGGACTACCTCGAGAACGACACCTCCCCGTGCGTCTTGCAGGAGGTCCGGGAGTTCTCCAGGCTCTTCGTGCCCATCACTTACTCGCTGATCTGTGTGTTCGGCCTCCTGGGCAACGTCTTGGTGGTGCTCACCTTCGCCTTCTACAAGAAGGCCAAGTCCATGACCGACGTGTACCTCTTGAACATGGCCGTCGCAGACATCCTGTTCGTCCTCACGCTCCCGTTCTGGGCGGTCACTCACGCCACCGGCGAGTGGGTCTTCAGCAGCGCCCTGTGCAAGCTGGTGGCGGGCATCTACGCCGTCAACTTCAACTGCGGGATGCTGCTGCTGGCCTGCGTCAGCCTGGACCGCTACATCGCCATCGTCCAGGCCACCAAGTCCTTCCGCCTCCGCTCCAGGACGCTGGCGCACCGCCGGGTGATCTGCCTCTCCGTGTGGGTGGTGTCCCTCCTCATCTCCGTCTCGACCTTCACCTTCACCCAGAAGTACAACACGCAGGGCTACGCCGTGTGCGAGCCCCGGTACCGCGGCGTCTCGGAGCCCATTCGCTGGAAGCTGCTGATGCTGGGCCTGCAGCTCCTCTTTGGCTTCTTCATCCCGCTGGTGTTCATGATCTTCTGCTACCTGTTCATCGTCAAGACCCTGGTGCAGGCCCAGAATTCCAAGCGGCACAGAGCCATCCGCGTGATCGTGGCCGTGGTGCTGGTGTTCCTGGCCTGTCAGATCCCGCACAACATAGTGCTGCTGGTGACGGCCACCAACCTGGGCCGGATGGACCGGTCCTGCCGCGGCGAGAAGCTCACGGCCTACACCAAGAACTGCACCGAGGTCCTGGCCTTCCTGCACTGCTGCCTCAACCCCGTGCTGTACGCCTTCATCGGCCAGAGGTTCAGGAGCTACTTTCTGAAGATCGCGAAGGACCTGCTGTGCGTGCGGAGGAAGCAGAAGTCCCCGGGCTTCTGCTCCCGGCCGCACTCGGACACCTTCATCTCCAGGCAGACCAGCGAGACCGCGGACGACAACGGGTCGTCCTTCACCATGTGACGCTCCCGCACGGACGGGCGCAGCGGCAGGGACGTGGGCGTCCGGCCGAGGCCAGCGGGCCCGGGCCGCGGGGTCCCAGGCTGTGTAAATCTCTACGGGGTGGTGGGGGGCCCAGACAGGCCGCACGTCCCAGGTTCTGGACCGGAGATGGACTCGGCCGTATCTGACAGCCGGCATCTCACAGGCTGGGGGAGACGGGGACTCAAAGGGACTGTTCACACATTCACAAACATGAACGTTTTCAGAAATATTCATGAAACAGTCACAGACCACAATGTCTTCCGGGCAGAGAGAAAAAAAAAAAAATCACAGGGTTTGAAAAACCGAAACAGAAAAACAAAACTAAAATGAAAGCCCTCAATAGCTCGTTCCAGTTAGACGCCATCCGCTGACCGTCCCTGGGGCTGCTGCCAGCCCGCGGCGCACTCGGAGCGGCCGAGGGGCAGCAGGGCCCGCTCCGGGGCCAGGCCGATCGCTGCGGACAGACAGACAGACACGCTGCGCGAGCATCGTGGCCATGGTGCCGTGGGTCAGGCACACCGGGCCGAGGCGGGCCATCAGCATGGGGTCGGGGGCGCCTGTCTGTTTCCCTGCCATGGGAGGGACGTGCCCTCCGAAAGCCCGTTAGACAGAGCGCTGGGGAGACGGGAGCCCGCGGTGTCCACTGAGCACACAGGGCTGAGTACATGTCTGTCTACGAGTCGTCGTGGAAACTGGGGTTTGCCGTCCAAAGTGTCAGGTGTTAAAATATTTTAGAAATAGAATACTTGGGGAAAAAAAACAAAAAACAAAAAAACAAGGAAACTTGACTGAGAAAATACAGGAGGAACTTCTGCCTCGTTTCGGGGGGTGGGGGGTGCGTGGCTGAGGATGGACGCCCCCTCGGGGGGCCCAGACCCTGCTGGCTCGGGCTGCTGACCTCGAGGCGGGTTTGCCGGGGTCTGAGGTTACCAGGCACGGGTTTCGGGCCCTCTCCACCTTCTAGGCAGCTCATGGCTCACATCCAGGTGTGCGGTGTGGATGCAGGAGCCGAGAGGGAAAACACCACGTGCTGCAAAGACAGACGTGTTCGGAGAACGCCGGCGTGTCACCGCTGACAGGCGTGATCTCTGTCACCCTCAGAGTGACGGCTTAGGGTTCGGCCTGTGCATGGCGCTGGCTTTGCCAATGAAACTGACTTGTCTGAGTCGGAGACGGTCTCCCAGCCCCCCTGTTCCGCCGGAGGGGCCGGGGGGGGGGTGCAAGGCTCACACCCTCTTTGAGGCAACATGAGGGGACCTGGAGAGTTTTATATTGAGTGAAGTAAGCCAGTCAGAGAAAGACCAGCACCACACGACCTCATTTATGGAACATGATAAACTGTCGCTCGGAACAGATCCAGAGACATGGAAGCAGGACCAGACTGACAAACCTCAGAGGGAAGGGGTGATGGGGGGCTGGGAAGAGATAAACCAGAGAACTTATATCACATATGCACAACCAATGGACACGGACATCAGTGTGGGGAAGGCAGGAGGGGGTGGGAGCGGGGAGGAGGGGGTCCATGCGGGAAAAGGGGGGGCATCTGTAATACTTTCAACAATAAAGATAAAAAAATTTTTTAAAAAAGGAAGACTCATGTCCTTTGGACTGTTAGCGGTCGCCTCCAGAAACGAAAGCTAAGGCGGCTGCTCCGTGCGACCGCGGCGCGGCCGCGACCTAGGGAAGTAAGTCGGCGCTTCCCACGCGGCTCCGAAACGCTCGGGGATCAGGTGACCGGCTGGGAAATGCGCTCCTGGGTGTAACTGAATCTCTGGGAAGCGAAGCTCACCTCTGCAAGCAGCAGCCCTTTGAACATTTCAGCCTATGCACGAAGAGGTGTCTGAAATGCACCAGATACTTTGTTTCATTAAGCAAGAGGCCCTCCGCTCGCTGACACCCACGGGCACGGGGCTGGGGGGTTTGGCTGCACGAAATGCCTCGGGATTGTCCTTCGATGTCTCCGTGTCCTCCTTCCGTCCACTTCCCGCACCTTCTCTCGCCGCCAGGCTGCGGCGGGGCCGCGTGGCTGCCCTCAGTCCGTCTGCTTGTCAGCGAGACACCCTGACTCGTCTGCGTTCATGAAGTAATCTTGCACACGTGACACGCTCGGACATGCACACGCGTGTGTGTGTGATCACACCCGTCTGTGCTGACCAGAGAGGCTTTCCTTGGCTCCTGCTGAGAAGTACTTGAGTCTCGGTTCTTTCCGGACACGAGATGTGATCACACACACGTCTCCGCAGAGGTGGAAACAGGCACGAGCGTCACCCCGCGGACTGCACCCCTTGATAAGGGACTGAGCATCGCCGGGTGAACCGCACGCTGCTTTGCTTCTGAGGGTGGAGAGGCCAGCGCCTAAGCGAGACGAGAAAAGTACGTTTTCAAATCTTTTCAAGTGTGTGGTGATGCGTGGCCGTGCCAGGTGCTCTGTGGGCGCCGGGCAGATGCTGGCCCAGGGGACACGTGTGCTCACAGTGCACCGAGCACTCGCTGCAGGGGCTGCCGTGACGAGGCCGGAGGCCGGGACTGGGGCTGGTGCTCCCCCGAGGCCTCTCCTCGCCTCGCCACGTCCTCACAGGGTCGCCCCTCTGTGCCCCGGTGCCTCCTCGGGGTCCCGATGCCCTCTTCTCATAAGGACCCCGCCAGACGGAACCAGAGCCCACCCCCCACCCTAAGGACCTCATTTCACCTTTCAAGGCCCATTTCCAAAGGCAGTCACTCTTTCAGAAACTGGAGTTGGGGCGTCGGCCTGGGAGTTCGGGGGACGCACGCAGCCCTGCAAACCCGTTCTGTGAGGACGGAGCCACGGCTCAGCCACGGTCAGCCACGCGAGAACCCTCCCCGGGCACATTCCTCCTTTCTAGTGAGCTGTCTTCCAAACACTCGCTCCCACTTCCATTTTTCTAGTTTTCAGATCCTGTTCCCACAGCATGAAGGACAGAGGACACACACGACCTGTGGTCGCGTCATACTCACTTATGTCCCCTGTACAGTGGCTGGCGCCACCCAGTACCCCCCGGGGACGGCACCTCCTCTCTGCTGCCTGGGGAGGGGCTTCTCCTCCAACAGTCTTCCCGCGTGCAGGGCGCAGGTCCCCAACCCTGGCGGCTCTGTACTTGACGCAGAGACCTCCCTCTCTTCTTGGGGACCTCTGGATGGTGGGCAGCAGAAGGTGGTTGTGACAGGCCCTGGGAGGCTGGGCCCCATCTGCCTGCCCGTTCGTCCACACAGCATGTTGCTGCCTCGTGACCCCTGGGCGGCCTCTTGCCGAGATCCAGTTCCTGGAGCAGGACGCTCCCTCCCCAAGCTGGGAGGCGGCAGCGGTTCACACGTACAGTCAGACTATTCGAATCCCCACCCTCCCCGTAGCAGGTCCTCTGACACAGTCTGCAAGCCGCCCCCTGCCCTCTGGGGACCCTGCCTGGTGCCCAGGGATGTGGCCAGTGGGAAGGCTGCAGCATGCCCAGCTCAAGATGACCCGCTGGGACTTACTTTCAAATTCTGTAACTCAAGATGCCTTCGTGAGTTCTTCCTTGAGCTGCGCTTCTAGCATCATCGTTTTCCTGCTGCTTACTTGGTGAATCCGCACGAGAGCTAAGGCAGGGGCCGTATCTCTCCCAGCCCCCTCCCCCCCGACCCCCTACTCCACCTCCCTCTGCCTCAGAGTCCAGGAGGCAGCCCGACGACCAGCAGGGGGCTGCTGTCTAGGTGTCCTCATGGCCCAAGCAGGCTGCTCTAGCTCCTACCATCACACTTCCATCCGGCCGACAGAAAGAGGAAAGGGAAGGAGGTGGCCTTGTCTTCAAGGGTACAGCTTGAAGGTTGTGGAAATCACTTGGCCTGACCTTAGTCACATGGTTAATCCAGGGGAAAGGGCCTGAGAAGCGGCTCCTGGGTGGCCCTGGCCCTCCCGCAGAGAACACGCGTGTGCCCCACTCTGTGCCGGAGGGGCTGGCAGGACGGCTGCACCGCTCACTGCGGGGAGGAGGAAGGCTGGCAGTTCTCGGGAGCTGCTTCAAGCTGTGCTAGGAGAACAGGAAGACAGGAAGCCGCCATGGTTTCTGCTAAGGCATCCGAGACTGGGCCAGAGCAGGCCAGGGGGACAGGCCGGCCCAGGACGCTGCCCCCAGCCCCCGACGGGCACCTGTGAGTGTGGGCTCTGCTCCCCACGACTCGCTGGTCCCCACCAGCCCCGGCCTGTCAGTCTGAATTTTGAGAGCACTGCATTGGGAATTAGGGTCAGTATTTGATATGTTTCACCGTCTGCCTTGTTTTGGAAGATTAACTGGATCCTTGAATTCAAGATGATGTTTTGGGGTCCTTGTCCCAGAACCTGTTATGTAAGCAGACGAGGGAACGGGCCATCACGCTGAGAGGGCTCCCCTGCACTTCAGGGACAGGGCTTTGGAAGGGGGCCCTGCCCCAAGGCCAGCCGCCTCCTCGACGGGGCGCTGCCGCCCTCTGCTGGACGCAGGCTGCACCCACAGAATACCCCCTGCTCGGCAGCCACACACTCTCCTGAATTCCACAGGACAAGGGGGCGTGTGTCCTAGTGCGAAAACTTTAATAGAATCTTATACTGTGTTATCTAAAAATCCTTAGAATAATTAAATTTAAAAGTCTGTCTGTCCAGCCAGTGTGGCTCAGTGGTTGAGCGTCGACCCATGCACCAGAAGGTCACCGGTTCGATCCCCTGTCAGGGCACATGCCCAGAGTGTGGGCCAAATCCCCAGTGGGGGGCGTGCAGGAGGCAGCCAGTCGATGTTCTCTCTCATCAGTGTTTCCATCTCTCTCTCCCTTCCTCTCTCTCTAAAAAAGATCAATAAAGAAAAATAATAAAATAAAATAAGACCTGCTGGTCTAGTAAAAAAATGAAAATCTGACTGCAATGTTGCTGCGATTTACTATTTTCCCATTGGCTGGAATGGAGCCGACCCCTAGGTGACCTTGGAAGCCAAGTGGCAAACAGCAGGACCTGCCTTGGTCTGAATTCGCACGACTGGTCGCTCCCTGGAGCTCCGACGTGAACCAGAAAGGACTGTTACGTCTGAGCAGCCTGCGGCTTCCTGCTGCCCGTCCATGCCGAGCCCTCCAAGGGCAGTGGTCCCTCCGGGCCTGGCGGTCCTGCCGACAAAGATGCCTCCCACCCCGCGGGCCCCCACGCTCCCCTCTGACTCGGCGGGCACTTCTCCGGGCAGTGCCCTGGCACGGGGGCCTCGCCCCGCTCCAGCAGCTGCTGCGTGTGCCCTCAGACCCCTCCTGGGAGGCCGCCTGCAGTGAGCTGATTACTGGTCTAAATGTCGATGCCCCCGTGGGACACAGCCGGCCCTTTGCCACCTGGGCCCCGAATGCTTGGCCCCTGATTTCGGGCTCTGCCCTGTGAGTAGCCATGACAGTGGGACGTCATGGGTGAGAGCCGAGCAGAGGCCGGAATGTGCCCTTGGGCGGGGCTGGTCCTCCTGGCCCGGGCCATCGAGGGCTCTCGGTGCCGAGGCGACAGCCCTTCAGCCAGGACTCGCAGGAATTCACAGGACAGCGGACGGGGACAGCCCGGTGGGCGCCCTGGCCCCGGGGGACATGCACGTGGCCAGGGAGGGTCCAGTGGCCGACTGGGCTTGGGAAGAGAAACCAGGAGATGGGCAGTTTCAGACAGTGACAGGGGCCGGAACACGGAAGAGCTTCATTGCCCAGGTTGGGCTGTGGGCTCCTGGCGCCCTGTCCGGGGGGAGGGGGGCAGGGTCCACAGGAGATGGGCAGTTTCAGACAGTGACAGGGGCCGGAACACGGAAGAGCTTCATTGCCCAGGTCGGGCTGTGGGCTCCTGGCCGCCCTGTCTTGGGGGGGTGGGGGAGGGGCAGGGTCCAGGCACCACTGAGATCTGCCGGGCTCGTGGCCGGACGGGACAAAGGAAACAGAAACCTGCTGTCACAGCAGGACGGGGTCCGAGGCCTCATCTGCCGTCTGCAGCACTTCCTGTTCGAGTCATTTCCTTACTCAGAGAAGCCGCAGGGCCTCCTTGCTGGGCTCCTGGAGAAGGGACCCTCTGGGCGCAGAGCTGCAGGGCGTCCTGGGAGGAGCTCTGGGGACGGCCACCGACACACCCTCGGCTGTTTGCCGGTCCCGAACCTCCCACGCATGAAACGTGGTCCCTTTCACACATGTGCAGTGAAACGAGTCAGACAGAACCTTACAAAAGGCCGAAAGGATTTGCCAGAAAGAAAGGATCGTCCTGAGCACTCAGCTTAGCAGGACTTTTCCACCTCCAGCTCCCTGGGCACCGCCCTTCCCAGCTCTGCACCGAGGCTGAGCAGCTCGTCCCCAAGGGCGCACGGTCTGGCCAGGGTCGCAGACAAAGGCAACAGAACGGACAGCCATGAGCACGAGAGAGCGACAGCTACTGGACCCTCAACGCACCACTCACAGCCGTATTGAACCCCCGCACCCTCACGGCCGGTCTGTACCCTCCCCGCGACAGCAGGGAAAAGCCCAGAGCAGTTTGGAGATGTGTCCCAGGTCACAAAGCGGGGGAGTGACAGAGCCAGGTGCAGGGCCCAAAGGCCCTGACCTTGGCCCCTGACCCAGGGACGCACCAGCCCCGGCCGCACATAACAGAGTCCACGGGGGACCTCCAAAGTCCTAGCGCTCAGCCCCTCCCCAGATGAACGAGTCAGGCTGTCTGAGAGCCCCCGGACCCCGCTGGCAGCAGGAGCAGGCCAGGACGGGGCAGGAAGGAGACCCTGAGCGGCAGCCACACTGGGAGGTGACTTCCCCATTTGGCAAGGCTGGCTTGTGAGCCTGGGGGGCAGGGCGCGGGGGGCAGCCAGCTGCGGTGTCCCGGGGGGGGGGGGGGTCTGGGAGGCGGCTGTGCCAGCCCTGGTCCCCAAGCCTTTCCGAGGCCAGAGGCTGGCTTTGTCCCACGTCAGGTGACTGTGACTTCTGTGTGTTTACCGGTGCGAAGAGTAAGGGACCTGAGCGCCCCTCAGCAGGGGACACTCCTGGGGGAGAATCGGATCCTCCGGTGAAGATGCCTGTGGGGAGGTGACCACAGGTGGATTTCACAGCAGCATTTGCAGTAGCACCTGCAGAGACAGGGAGGAACCAGAGACGCCCCTTCACGGGAAAGGGAAGCGGACACGGTGCCTGGAAGGGTCCCCGCCAAGGTTTCCGCCGCCGATGGCTCACATCAGCACCAGCTGCCCTCCCTCCTGCGCCCTCTGACACTCCGCTGACTCGGGAGGAAATAAAACCTGGGCAGATGCACAGCCGGTGGCGGGGCCGTGTCCCCGTCACGCTCACAGGCACACACGTGGGAGACACACTCGCCGCTCAGAGTCGGTTCTGATGAGGAGCCGCCCCCCGTGGGCAGGCAGCTCCCGGACGGCCTGGTTTGTTCCATTGCCCAATTCTGCTCGGTTAACCTTAAATCCTGCAGAGATCCTGGCCCCGCCCTCTGGGAAAGCAGTTCTCTCTGTGGGTGACTCTGGCGTGACTTCAGGGGAGCCGCTGCCAGGTGGGGAGCTGCGGGGACCCTGTCATGACAAAGGGGACCCTGTACGCAGGCCGGCCGGTCCCGCTGTGGCCCACACTTCCAGGATCGAGCAGGGAAAGAGAGAAGAGGCAGTCGGGAAGGTGACTTTCAAAATTCTTTGTCACCATCGTGAGCTACATGTCTGGGCCATTGTTTGAGAGGAACAGCATGAGAAGGTGTGGCCGCTGCCCGTGACCAGGGGCTGGGGTGCCGCCACCCCCCTTCTCGGCAGGGGTCCTGGAGCCTCTGCGGGAGCCCTCCCTGTGCCGTCCCCCGGGAGCCATCAAGGCGGCGACGTTCTTTCAGCAGGGGGCCGCGGACGTTGTAAAGACATTTGGAAATTCAGATCTAGAAGAACGTTCTGGAGGCAGGTTGAGACACTGAGTGAGAAAGGGTTTCTTATCAGACGCCAGGGAGCTGGGCTGTTGGGCGGGAGGCACACCCGTACACACGAAGCCAACGCGTACGACCCCGCAGGCAGTGGTGCCAGACAACGACCCCCACCCCGGGGCCCCGCGTGGGCCGGACGCCTGCTCTCCAGCTCCTGACCGCCCCTCTGGGCCACAGGTGAGAAGCAGCACAGACTTCTGCATCTACAAACCGAGGCCAAGGAAACAGAAATGACTTCCGAAGACCAGACAGAGCGACAGTAAAACCAGCCTCCAGCCCCTACCCATCCGCGCTGACCCTCCGAGGACCGTCCTCCAGGGGTGGGTGTGCAGGTCACCTGTGTGTCCCTGCAGGGACTCAGCCTGCAGCCCAGCTGGGGTCCCGGAGGCGCTGGCCTCCTGGGTAACATGCAGCAGTAGCGGGAGACAGTCCTGTGAGCAAATCGGCAACAACACGGCTACAGTCTTGCTGACGTCTGTGGCCTGATCCCAGAGCAGCTCGAGGCTCCCTCTTCGTCCGAATCCTAGCGAAAGGCCACCCTTCCTGAGGCCCCAGGGGGTCCCACTAGGGCGTCCTCAGGAGTTGAAGTCCCTGAGATCGAAGCCTGGGGCCTGAGTCTCCTGCCCTCGGCCGCGGAGGCTCAGGAAGACCTTCCGGTACGAGTGCCTGAACGTGGCGTTGGAGAAGCAGTAGACCACGGGGTTCAGCACGCTCTGCAGGCCCGTGAGGCTGCTGGTCACGTCGGAGGCGAGCACCAGCGCTCTGCAGGCCCGGCAGCTGTCCGTGCCCCGGAAGACGGCCAGCAGGACCTGGGCCAGGAAACCGGGCAGAAAGCACAGTGTGAAGAGCACCATGACCGTGGCCACCAGCGCCTGGGCCCGCTGCAGCTTGGGCTGCCTGTTGGGGTCTCGGAGCCTCCTCTGCAGGATTCTGATGATGCCGCCGTTGCAGAACAGGATGAGGCTGAAGGGCAGGACGAACTGGACGAAGGACTGCGCTTCCTGCCAGGTGAGGCTGAAGGAGCCGCCGGCACCCAGGCCAGAGCCTGTGCACGTGGTCGGAGGCCCCAGCACGCTCGAGTGGCTGAGGGCGACCAGCAGGAGCCAGATGAGGCCTGAGACCCCCCAGGCCGCTCGAGGGGACAGAAGGTTGATCCTGAGCCGAGGGTGGACCACGCGGAGATAGCGGTCCAAGGCCACGGTGGTGAGGAAGGCGACGCCCACGCCCCGGCTGAGAGCCCACAGGAAGAACAGGGTCTTGCAGGGTGTGTGTCCCCAGCCGCAGGTCTTGTGGCTCAGGAAGAAAGCCACCAGGAAGGGCAGGCAGAGGGCCAGCAGGAGGTCGGAGAAGACCAGGTGGAACAGGTAGATGGTGTGGGGCTTCCACACCTTCAGGCGGAAGAAGAAGGTCCACACGGCCACGGCGTTGCCCAGGAGGCCCAGCACACACTCCAGCGCCAGCAGTGTGGCCACCGCCGCCTCCGCCGCCAGGCTGGGCTCGGAGCAGTTGGGGGGCAGCATGGCCCCGGAGCCGCTGCGGGGACCCCTGGGCGACTCTGGGAGCGGAGGAGGGAGCGGGCCTTTCCTGCGGGGGCTCCCGGCTCTGCGCTCCGCGCGAGAGAAAGTGCAGAAGTGCCCGTGCAGAGGCAGAAGAAACTGAAATTTGTTTGGGAAAGAGGATCAGTGGGGGAGCCAAAACCCCCTGCAGCTTGGTTCTGTTTTGTTGGCCTTAAAAAGGGGAAACTGTGGTCCGTTTCCCATCACCCGGCATTCAGTCAAAGTGCTGATGTCCCGAGAGCCTGGGCAGCCGCCCTGGGGAAGGAACTGGCCGGTCCAGCCCCCGGAGGCGTTGTCTTTACACAACTGAAACGGTGATGAAGCAGGAAGGTCGCCCCTTAGGTTGGATGGGCTTCCCGGGGAGCTGAGACCCCCGGCCCGCGACTGGACCTACTCGTCATGGTCTGTCTGGTTCAGCTTCGCCTGGAGGGGGGGCTGGCCAGGTCCTTTCACAGGGGACCACTCGGTGGGTCCTTCGGTCAGATTTTAGTTTCTGCTGAGGAGACTTCTTTTCCCTCCTATACCTTCTGGATTAGGGTCTGGACCGCTGGGCATCGTTGGCCACGAGCATCGTATAATTGAGGGTTGGTCAAGATGCATGGAGTCCACCAGTGTCAAGTCCACGAGCCCAGGAACATGCTCTGTGTGTCCAGAAACAAACAACGCTAGCATGCGGGGGTGTCCAACGTAAATATTGAATGACTCTCGATAGTCCTGCCCACGGCCCACCCCCTTCACCCTGGTCCTGACCCACAGCCGACCCCACTTCACCCTGGTCCTGACCACATCCGACCCCCCTTCACCCTGGTCCTGACCCACGGCCGACCCCACTTCACCCTGGTCCTGACCCACATCCGACCCCACTTCACCCTGGTCCTGACCCACATCCGACCCCCCTTCATCCTGGTCCTGACCCACGGCCCACCCCCTTCACCCTGGGCCTGACCCACAGCCGACCCCACTTCACCCTGGTCCTGACCCACATCCGACCCCCCTTCACCCTGGTCCTGACCCACATCCGACCCCACTTCATCCTGGTCCTGACCCACGGCCCACCCCCTTCACCCTGGTCCTGACCCACAGCCGACCCCACTTCACCCTGGTCCTGACCCACGGCCGACCCCACTTCACCCTGGTCCTGACCCACATCCGACCCCACTTCACCCCGGTCCTGACCCACGGCCGACCCCACTTCACCCTGGTCCTGACCCACATCCGACCCCACTTCACCCCGGTCCTGACCACGGCCGACCCCCACGTCATCCCGGCTCCTGACCCACATCCGAACCCCCCTTCATCCCGGTCCTGACCCACATCCGACCCCACTTCACCCCGGTCCTGACCCACGGCCCGACCCCCCCTTAACCCCGGTCCTGACCCAACATCCGCCCCCACTTCACCCCCGGTCCTGACCCTACGGCCGGACCCCACTGCACCCTGGTCCTGACCCACATTCCGACCCCCACTTCACCCTGGGTCCTGACCCACATACGACCCACTTCACCCTGGTCCTGACCCACATCCCGGACCCCACTTTCACCCTGGTCCTGACCCACGGGCCGACCCCACTTCACCCTGGTCCTGACCCCACATCCGACCCCCACTTCACCCCTGGTCCTGACCCACATCCGACCCACACTTCACCCCCTGGTCCTGACCCACATCCGACCCCACTTCACCTGGTTCATGACCCCACATACGGACCCCTGTGAAGCTTTTCACCCCTGGTCCTGACCCCCGGACGACCCCCACTTCACCCTGGTCCTGACCCACGTCCGACCCCACTTCACCCTGGTCCTGACCCACATCCGACCCCACTTCACCCTGGTCCTGACCCACATCCGACCCCACTTCACCTGGTCCTGACCCACATCCGACCCCACTTCACCCTGGTCCTGACCCACATCCGACCCCACTTCACCCTGGTCCTGACCCACATCCGACCCCACTTCATCCTGGTCCTGACCCACATCCGACCCCACTTCACCCTGGTCCTGACCCACATCCGACCCCCCTTCACCCTGGTCCTGACCCACATCCGACCCCCCTTCACCCTGGTCCTGACCCACATCCGACCCCACTTCACCCTGGTCCTGACCCACATCCGACCCCCCTTCACCCTGGTCCTGACCCACGGCTGACCCCACTTCACCCTGGTCCTGACCCACATCCGACCCCACTTCACCCTGGTCCTGACCCACATCCGACCCCACTTCACCCTGGTCCTGACCCACATCCGACCCCACTTCACCCTGGTCCTGACCCACAATCCGACCCCACTTCACCCTGGTCCTGACCCACATCCGACCCCACTTCACCTGGTCCTGACCCACATCCGACCCCACTTCACCCTGGTCCTGACCCACAGCCGACCCCACTTCACCCTGGTCCTGACCCACAGCCGACCCCACTTCACCCTGGTCCTGACCCACAGCCGACCCCACTTCACCCTGGTCCTGACCCACGGCCGACCCCACTTCACCCTGGTCCTGACCCACAGCCGACCCCCCTTCACCCTGGTCCTGACCCACGGCCGACCCCCCTTCACCCTGGTCCTGACCCACGGCCGACCCCACTTCATCCTGGTCCTGACCCACGGCCGACCCCCCTTCACCCTGGTCCTGACCCACGGCCGACCCCCCTTCACCCTGGTCCTGACCCACGGCCGACCCCACTTCACCCTGGTCCTGACCCACGGCCGACCCCCCTTCACCCTGGTCCTGACCCACAGCCGACCCCCCTTCACCCTGGTCCTGACCCACGGCTGACCCCACTTCACCCTGGTCCTGACCCACATCCGACCCCACTTCACCCTGGTCCTGACCCACATCCGACCCCACTTCACCCTGGTCCTGACCCACATCCGACCCCACTTCAACCTGGTTCCTGACCCACATCCGACCCCACTTCACCCTGGTCCTGACCCACAGCCGACCCCACTTCACCCTGGTCCTGACCCACGGCCGACCCCACTTCACCCTGGTCCTGACCACGGCCGACCCCACTTCACCCTGGGTCCTGACCACGGCCGACCCCCCCTTCACCCTGGTCCTGACCCACAGCCGACCCCCCTTCACCCTGGTCCTGACCCACGGCCGACCCCCTTCACCCTGGTCCTGACCCACGGCCGACCCCCCTTCACCCTGGTCCTGACCCACGGCCGACCCCCCTTCACCCTGGTCCTGACCCACATCCGACCCCCCTTCACCCTGGTCCTGACCCACATCCGACCCCCCTTCACCCTGGTCCTGACCCACATCCGACCCCCCCTTCACCTGGTCCTGACCCACATCCGACCCCCTTCACCCTGGTCCTGACCCACCTCCGACCCCCCTTCACCCTGGTCCTGACCCACAGCCGACCCCCCTTCACCCTGGTCCTGACCCACATCCGACCCCCCCTTCACCCTGGTCCTGACCCACAGCCGACCCCCCTTCACCCTGGTCCTGACCCACAGCCGACCCCACTTCACCCTGGTCCTGACCCACATCCGACCCCCCTTCACCCTGGTCCTGACCCACAGCCGACCCCCCTTCACCCTGGTCCTGACCCACAGCCGACCCCCCTTCACCCTGGTCCTGACCCACAGCCGACCCCACTTCACCCTGGTCCTGACCCACAGCCGACCCCCTTCACCCTGGTCCTGACCCACATCCGACCCCCCTTCACCCTGGTCCTGACCCACAGCCGACCCCACTTCACCCTGGTCCTGACCCACGGCTGACCCCACTTCATCCTGGTCCTGACCCACATCCGACCCCCCTTCACCCTGGTCCTGACCCACGGCTGACCCCACTTCATCCTGGTCCTGACCCACTCCGACCCCCCCTTCACCCTGGTCCATGACCCACAGCGACCCCACTTCACCTGGTCTGACCACCTGACCCCCACTTCATCCTGGTCCTGACCCACATCCGACCCCACTTCCACACTGGCTCCTGACCCACAGCCGACCCCACCTTCACCCTGGTCCGACCCACGGCTGACCCCACTCACCCTGGTCCTGACCCACCGGCGACCCACTTCATCCTGGTCCTGACCCACATCCGACCCACTTCACCCTGGTCCTGACCCACAGGCCGACCCCACTTCACCCTGGTCCTGACCCACATCGACCCCCCTTCACCCTGGTCCTGACCCAACAGCCGACCCCACTTCACCCTGGTCCTGACCCCCTGACCCACATCCGACCCCACTTCACCCTGGTCCTGACCCCACATCCGACCCACTTCACCCTGGTCCTGACCCACATCCGACCCACTTCACCCTGGTCCTGACCCACATCACCGACCCCACTTCACCCTGGTCCTGACCCACATCCGACCCCCCTTCACCTGGTCCTGACCCACATCCGACCCCACTTCACCCTGGTCCTGACCCACATCCGACCCCCCTTCATCCTGGTCCTGACCCACAGCCGACCCCCACTTCACCCTGGTCCTGACCCCACATCCGACCCCCCTTCACCTGGTCCTGACCCACGGCGACCCCCCTTCACCCTGGTCCTGACCCACATCCGACCCCCCTTCACCCTGGGTCCTGACCACAGACGACCCCCTTCACCCTGGTCCTGAACCACATCCGACCCCCCTTCCCCTGGTCCTGACCCACAGCGACCCCCCTTCACCCTGGGTCTGACACCATCCGACCCCCCTTCACCCTGGTCCTGACCCACAGCGACCCCCTCACCCTGGTCCTGACCACATCCGACCCCCTTCACCCTGGTCCTGACCCACATCCGACCCCACTTCACCCTGGTCCTGACCCACATCCGACCCCCCTTCACCCCCCTGGTCCATGGACCCCACATCCGACCCCACTTCACCCTGGTCTGACCCACATCCGACCCCCTTCACCCTGGTCCTGACCCACATCCGACCCCCCTTCACCCTGGTCCTGACCCACATCCGACCCCACTTCACCCTGGTCCTGACCCACATCCGACCCCCCTTCACCCTGGTCCT